TCCAGGACCTCTCAGGGGACATTGGAGAGCCAGTTTCGGCCTGATCCCCGCAGGCCAGGCCAAGAGACCCCGCCAGTACACGAATCTGTGCACCGGGCCTCTAGTAGAGTATAAAACCCATAGTAAGCCCAGCCAGCATGGCTCAGTGATTGGGCATCAACCTATGACCCAGGAGGTCACAGTTTGATTCCCAGTCAAGGCACATGCCAGGTTTCGGGCTCTATCCCCAGTAGGGGGTGAGCAGGAGGCAGCCGATCGATGTTTCTCTCTCAATGTTTCTCTCTTATGGATGTATCCATCTCACTAACTCTCTCCCTTCCTCTCTCTAAAATCAATAAAAATATATATTTTTTAAAAAGGAGCATGCAGTGCAAGAAAGAAAGGCCAAGAGAGATGAGACTGAAGAGCTGAAGAGGGGAAGGAAAACGGAGAACTTGATGCTGCGCTTGAGGATCCTGAATTTTAGCCAAGGGCTTGCAGGGAGACAAAGAATGTTAAAGTAAGAGGCAAGAGACTGCCATACTGAGATGTTTATTTTGGAAAACTGTCCTGGCTGCGGTGTGGAGAGCAGTCAGGAAGAGGTGAGACTAGAAGCAAGGGGGTCACTCGGGAAGTAGGAATCACCAGAGGGTGAGCGATGGATCCTAGTGGGTTGGAGAGACAGACAATCTAAGATTCCTAGGGGCCTGACCGGCGTGCCATATTGAAATGTTTATATTGGAAAAACTGTCCTGGCTGTGGTGTGGAGAGCAGTCAGGAAGAGGTGAGACTGGAAGGAAGGGGATCACTCGGGAAGTAGGAATCACCAGAGGGTGAGCGATGGATCCTAGTGGGTTGGAGAGACAGACAATCTAAGATTCCTAGGGGCCTGACCGGCATGGCTCAGTGGTTGAGTGTTGACCTATGAACCAGGAGGTCACGGTTCAATTCCAGGTCAGGGCACATGCCCAGGTTGAGGGCTCGATCCCCAGAAGGTGTGCAGGCGGCAGCCAATCGATCATTGATGTTTCTATCTCTCTCTCCCTCTCCCTTCCTCTCTGAAATCAATAAAAATATATTTTAAAAATAATCCTATATAATAAAAGGCTAATATGCAAATTTTCCCCTCAACCAGGGACAATTTGAGAGTTCAACTGGGAGTTCGACCAGGGGGTGGGGCCGCCAACCACCCGCGGCCCTTCCTATCGGGGAAGGCCAGCCAGACGTGACCCATGCACGAATTCGTGCACAGGCCTCTAGTAATAAAATAAAATTCCTAGGTGCCCGAATCTCTAGAACCCGGTGACATGATGACATGGAAGGTTGGGGGGAGAGAGAGGAGACAGGGATGATTTCTGAGCTGGCGACTGGATGAATGGTGGCTCCACTAGGCGAGGAGATGGGGAGAGGAGGCTGGTTTGGGAGCTCCGTGGAGAGCGGAAGATCTAGAACTCAACACCATGTGCCTGGGATGAAGCCACTAGAGCTGAAGCCACCTGGATCTGCAGCTCTCTGCTGAACTCTAGGCCCTACTTCCAGCTTCTTTCTGAATGTGTCCCCCCCCTTCCC